TTCTCACAATGAATAATTCAACAAACATTATCAAGCAGAAGTTTTTTTTTATTAACTACATAAAAATCTGATAAAATATTAAAAATGTAACATCATTATTAAGAATATTATATTTTTAGTCGTTGGTTTCAAATAACATTGGAAAGAAATTTTCAAAATTAGAGAAAAAAATGTCCATGCTTATTAAAATAAAACTTAAATGGTTTTCATTAAACAAATATTAGTCTATATCTTTTTAAATAGTTTACATTTTACCATCAGAGGGAAAGTGTACAGCAAACTGAGTGCAATTGTAGAACAGAGACATGTTTCGCATAACACTATTATGGTTGTTAACATGAGTACTAATGTTGCCAGGTATATAAAAATAAATGAACACACCTTATTACCAAGATATAATTTCTTTAAATAAAACTATAAGACAAAATGAAAGAGAATAACATCATGGATTGATTTTCACCATTCAACTAATTTTCACTATTCTATAATTTAATAATTCATTTATTTCATATGTAGAGAGTACCTTAGCCTTTAATTAAAATTAATGCAATTACCTTTGTAATTAAAACCTATTTAAAATAAACTAGCAAAATTATATGAGCATGCTACAGATGTTTAAAAACAAACCATTTAATTTTAAGTTGAAATATTTACATTTAAATATACATATACAGAACTAAATTTTTGTACTACATAGCATCAGGAACAAACTGTACAAACAATACTACACTAAGTGTAAATTTTATACAAAATAATAAATCGTGTTCTAAGATGTATTTAAAACAAAAGTTTTAAATATATTTTAAGAACAAAATTTCATGTTATAGTACAGCATAAAAACCGTGATGGATTAACTAATAAATTCAAATCATTTAAAAATTAATAAATACTAAAAAGATAAATGGAATGGTATTCCAATGAGCATTCCAAAACCATAACTGAAAAAAAAAAAAAAAAAAAAAATTGCATTCCAAAATAAACGAATTTTGTGAGAAGCACTCTCTATTTTCTAAAAGCTATTCAAAATATTGTGGAAAAAAATTGTCTTAAGTATTCTAAATTACTAAACATCATTGCTCAACAACTGCACTTATTGCAGAAACAAACCTAACATTTGCCTCAGAGAAATCAAACCTGAATAAAATTCAAACCTGGCAACATTAGTAATAGGACTTTAATTATATTTTATAACCAACTTCATGAGCCTTTTTTACTATGGCAAGTTTAGAGTTATCATCTTCAACAGGCAAATCCCTGTAAGGTGCTTCACGAGTCCCGTGGACCATTAGAGTCCACTCCCTTATGTAGCCAGTTTGAGGGGTCTGACTATCGAAGCGAACCTCCAAGGTCCACCGACCTGTTGGGCCCTCACCCCAAGTATGAGTGGTCATGAATGGCCATTTGGTGAATCCATCATACTGGTCATCATCATTGGGTCGTTTATTTAGGATCATGGACCTGAAAAAGAAAAAGTGTTCTTTTAATTTTATTTACAGTGAGTCAATCATAAAGGAAAAACAAGTAGATAACTTTAAAAAAGTAAACAGTTTTCATAATGTTTTAGAAATAACACCCCAAATGTATCAGAAATTTGTAAACATATTTTATATAATTAAAACACACATTATGAAAATGTCTTGTATTATATGTGTAAGATTTAAAAATTTATTAATAAATATACCTCTGTAAATAATTTGTAATGCATATATAATACTAGATATTTCAAACAAACTTTTAGTTAAAATTAGTTCTCAGTGGCAGAAATGATTTGCTTGTGATGTGCTTGAATTTATGTTGAGTAAGATATTTTTGCTATATGATAATGAAATTATGTATTCACAGGAAATATTGTCATATTGAACTAAATTTTAAGAATGGTGTTAAATTTCATACTTAATAATTTATAAATATACATAAAAAGTAACTACATTGAGTACTATACCTTATGGTAACATTATATTATTCCTTACGGAAATACCTTAGAAGTTTCCATGCAAAGAGGTCTTCTTAAAAATAATTTAAAGCCTTTACAGGATGGCTATCCATTATTATTTTGCTCTCTCCTTCTCAAAATAAGCATTGAAACACTGGATGTCTGTCCTCAGTAGGAGGTTAATGATTTGTCTATGTTTTAACAAGGTGCAAGATATTTTTTTTTTTCAAAAAAAGGTTTTGTAAAAAAATTCAGTATAATTTATTGTATCTCTTTGTTAGAAGAATTGTGTTTGAAAACTTAATTATTCAATGGACAATTAAAAATATAAATTAATTCATGAAATTCCTAATAGCTGAGGGAAAAAAAAAACTAGTGCACCCAGCATAAAAAGTTTTACTTTTAATTAGATATAAAAATTATTTACTGAATAAACAAGTATGTAAAAGCAATAGAGAATTTCCTTTTCTTAAATCTTGAAAAGACTTAAATTTCCCAAAAAATTAGATAAATTAAATTATGAGAAACTACAATCCTGTGATAACAATGCCTAAAAATTACAAAGAATAAATTCTTTAACTCTATAAACTTTCTTACCTTTAAAATAGATTTTAGAGTTGTATTAACAATTATAGACTTAACACTATAGAATAGGCAAGAAAATAACCTGACTATATATATGCTTTATTTATACAGGAAATAATCTTTATAAGTAAAAATTTAGATCATTTCTGCCCATTCCTACTTACAAAGTTGATGATGCATATTATCATAGATTAATTAAATCAAGAAGAGTATGCAAATCTGGTTATATATTTTATTGATAATATATTTTATTTTACAATTACTGATATGAAAATATTGTGCATTTGAGTTTTTTTTAAGTTGCTATTCGAAAAGTGCAATCTAATATCTTACAATACTTTTTTTTTTTTTTTTTTTTACAAACTGAATAATATTTTTTATTTAGAGGGGCTAGTTTTAAAATCAAAATTGTAAATGAAAACAAAGAATTTGAGATCTACTATGAATCTATTTAAGTGCAGAAGCCACTAAGTAATGCAATTTGTCTTGAAAGTGCACTCACCTTGTACCCATGGGTGAAATTAAGAAAAGGGTTACATCTCCACGTCGACTAGCATTTAGAGTTACAATAGCTTGAACATGCTCCACATAATTAACTTCAGTATCGGTGCCAACACAAGCATCTGTGTCTATATAAATCTGCGTACTAGCATTGGTCAGGATTCGACTATGAAAACATATAATTATTATTATATTGTTAAAAAAATTTCACTTTTGGTGCAATCTTGAATAGACAATTCTTAAAATATTGCACAAAATTTATATGAAACTATTTTAACCTGTAATAAAGTTATCTATTATTTCTCTTAGTTCTTATTAAACACGAGATCTCGACTATGCAATACATCAAGCTGATTGACTATAAAAGAATTTTTATTAATAATGATCCACATCATTCTCCAATACTGAATGTATTAATCTTAATACTACAAAGTTTACAATAATTCAATTTTCTTTTGGTAAACAAACTAATTAAAAACATTTTATTTTAATTGTTAAAATTTCAAATTTATTTTGATATTCTATAAAAACATAGTGAAGCTGGAAATTTAACAGATGGAACAGTACTATATTACAATTATTAAGAACAATAGAAATGTCTAACATTGATCTTTTGAATAAAAATGAATTATAATATTAATTTAAATACATCACTAAATGTATAAGATAACATATATTGAATTCTCTTATAATAATTTTTTTTTTAAATCTGGGAAGTAGTATAATAAAAATTATAAATCTTTAATCTGTTTATTGAGATTTATATATAAAAATATAAACGATAGTCAAGACTTCATGAATAAATTTCTCAAACATAACACTTTTTGCCTTGCTTTTTTTTAAGAAGCACAGAATAGTTTCAAATTTAAAGCCACTTATGTTTTATGAAATCATTTTTTGTACATAATGTATTTCAATAAAGGCAGTTCTTCCACTTTAGTATATTATTCAAATTGATATGTTAATATTCTCATAAAGATGTATTGCATTATCTATTAAAACAATTTCATAAATAAATATGTTAAGATTTTTTTTCATGAAGTATTTTTTGTATCAAAATATTAACATTATTTAAAAGACAAATGTGTTCCTTACTGTGGAGTGCTGACAACACCTGCCACACAATGGTATCTAGCTGGAACTGTCTTCCAGATTTTAGCCAATGCCACCATGGCCCCTGCATCCAAAACTCCAAATCCAAACAAGTGGTTGAACTCTAGACCAACTCCATTCATGTTCCAGTGGAAGCGTCCTTTGCTATCATACAGAGAGTTTCTTTTGGAAGTCAACACAGTTAAATGTTGGATATCTCTCCAAGTTAACATAGGACTGAAAATAATGAAGTATTAATGCTAATTATACAGAATTAAGCAATATTATATCAAAAACTTTTATTTTTTGTAAATAAGTAGTGAAGTATACAAGCAGTAGTTTTTTTTTGTCAGCAAAATTCACCATGATTAAGATAAAATGTATATATTTTATGAAGTATACTCTATGAAAGTGCAGACACTATTACAACTATGCTATGCAGTCAAAATTCTACGCTTTGACATAAAAAATAGGAAAAAAAAAATAAATAATAATTCTATATATAATAGTTATAAAATCATTCTTAAATAAGTACTTCTCTTACAGATGCATGGAGGTAGTGACTGATAAGAGAAGCTGTTTAGCAAGGAAAATAATTACTGAGTCATTTTTGTGTTGTTGTTTCTTATCCCACTTGGCTGGCCAAGCCCACGAGCCCGTACGTACTCATGATTGAAGGGGAAGGAAGCAGCTTCTGTTGTGATGGAGCACCCGTAGGTAGAAGCCTGACTTTTGCTCCATGACGCTCTTACAGTCATAGAAGACCGGGACCTACGGCTTAAAGTGGATTCCGAACCACTACAAACATCCATGGCACCACCGGGATTCGAACCCGAAACCTGTGGCACCGAGCGCCAGACACTTGGCCATTCAGGTCCCAAATTTGCCAACGGCACGCAGTGTTCCCACCCACCCAAGTACTGACCGCGCCCAATGATGCTTAACTTCGGTGATCTAACGAGAACCGGTATATTCAGCATGGTATGGCCGTTAGCGTCATTTTTGTATATGTAATTAAAGAAAACAACTTTATAATTTTTATACTTTTCAATAAAAATCTGTTTAAAAATTATAGTCCACTATCTTATTTTTATTGTGTTATATATTCAGTGTGCTAGAATGATGCTAAACATATAAAATAAAGTGCAAAATTAGTAATTATTGTGAATATAAATATATATTCACAATAATTACTAATTTTACACTTTATTTTATGACTTCTTTGTTCCTTAATTAGATGAAAAAATTACCAATCTGGCAAATCTAACTTTACATATATAATGTTTTTGACCAACATTTCTCTTTCTTTAAGGCATAAAAAAATATCCCATATATAAATATAACTAAAAAATATATTTTATCACATCATGCAGTAAAAATTAAACATAGTTTTAATTAAAAAAAAAAATTTTCTACACCAATTTCTATTCTAATTTTCCAATAGTTAATTTAATAAACATAAATGCAAAAGATGTAGATTGACAAAATGTTCTAAAAAATGCATAAACATATATCAGATTCAGAATTTTATCAATTTACACACTTATCAAATTAAAGCAACCTTTCACTCACTTTGCATCCAGAGCTAGAGCAAAAACTCCAGCAGCTTCTGGGGCAGCTGCAGAAGTTCCAGAGTGAGTCTTAGTGCATTTTCCATACAAATCTGTGGTGGCCTGTTATAACAAAATGTGAGATTCAGTATTTGTCTAAAATTATTTGAAGACACAATTTTTAATTTAATTTTATATCACATTTTTTTCAGTATATTGATCCATTTAGATCACATTCATATCAATGACTTTGTTCTGAATAACTATTTATGAATGTCAATGATACATTTTTTTTTAAAATTGCTTTTCTGAAAGTTTGTCTTGCAAATTAAAGAAACCAGAAATTCCTTAAAAATCCATAATATCTTTGTGAGGCTGTATAAAATCTATATTGTTAAATCAGCCTCAGGTAAATTATTTTTGCATGACATAACTTTTAAATCCAATTTGTGCATTATTTATTAAACATTGTTGAAACATTTACCGAAAAGTTTTATTAAAAACGAATTTGGAATATAATTGAAAATAATATATTTTTATGTATTGAAAAGTTAAATTTATTATGCTTCACATAATTTCATAGTTTTATTTTCTTCTTAAAAGCACTCATTCATAAAATATAAATATGGTTTCATTAGAATAGAAAATTACTTACTACTCCTGTATGCGGATCTTTTGCTCCATTACTAAAAGTTGATGCAAGGGTTGAAGAACATGATTCATCATAATGAGCATTTTCACCATTATTGATTGCAGAATTGATGGAAATGGTCCACATGCTTGCTGCATAGCCATCACAGTTGCAATCATCATCTGCTCCACCATCACCAGAAGCCCACACATAAATGTTGCCAAGACCTCGTCGACCCTTCACAAAGTAGACAAAGACAAAACATTAAAGTTAATTTCCAAACACTCTAATTTATATTATTTATTTAATTGTACATAAAGTAACTCCCTCATTATATCACCCACGGAAGACAAAGAAACATGCAACAAAATCAATATTTTTATATAGGTTTTAATGTTGTAAAAATTTAATAGTCCTACTTTGGAATTTTAAAGTGAGATTCAAAAGTGAGAGATAATCAAAATGAAAACTAGAGAACTATTAATACCTATTTTATATTGCATTCAAGCTATGTTAACATTAAAAAAAAAAAAAAAAAAAAAAAAAAAAAAAAAAAAACACAACAACCAACCTTCAGTTCCTTTTTTCTTTTCTTAAAAATACAATTCATATTGAAATGAGCAATATAACAATATACTGTACTATTTACATAATAAAATGTTTTGTTTCAAAAATTTTAGAAAGAAAAATAATACATTTAACGTAATAGAAATAGAAAGTAAGAAAGGTAAATATAAAGCTACATTTTCCCATTTCATTTTAATTAATTTATTTTATGAACATTATAATTTATTTTAGTACATTATTTAACCTAAATAGTTTATTATTTAGAACATAGTTCCTAGAAAAAGATTTGAATTAATAACTTCAAAATTTGGCTTTCAATAGAAAAAAACAACAAAAAAATGTCAATTTTTCCTTTTAATTCTAAAAACAAAAATCCAATAAGGAAAGTATCTTTTTTTTGTCAATGTTTACAACATTTCAACATGTACATCATTAATTGTTTTGAGTGGATAAGAGGTTTCTTCCAAGATACTGTAAAGTAATAGAGAAACAATGGCTGCTGCTTTACAGTTTGATAGTCTTGCAAATTTCTGATTTAATAAACATTTTTTTTTTCTTCAAGTATACCTTTAAAAAATTCCAGAGCTCAACATATTGTGTGCATATTAAAATTTTAATAAATATCATCACAAAAAGTAAAAAAGACACCCCAAAATACTTTGATATTTTATTGAATAAAAAGCAATAAGCATGCAAACTTTTGTACATAATAAATTTTTAAAGTTACTTCTCAGGTATTCTAAATGAAAGTTCTATACAAACATGATTTAAAATTTAAAAAAAAAAAAGGTATTTACTTCATTTACACCTTGCACAATAGCTCTCATTGTGGCATTTCGTGGTCCATCCACTGTTTTCCCATCATCTGTAGGGCCCCAACTAGCACTGTAAATGTCAATCAAGTTAGGTTCATGTCCCATAGAGTTGGCTTCAATCAGATCTGTCATATATGGTTGATCCAACATTCGGATTCCTACAAAATCATATTAATAAACAATTTTAAAATTTTAAATGTTTAATTTAATTTCATAATAAAACTAAAATAAAATTAAAACATAGTTTCTGGCAGGGGGACCCCCTCCCCCCCAGAAAATTCATATAAAAATCTTTTAATTCATTTAAAGTAATATTTTTAATTGACTAAGAATAAAAATATTAATACATTGTAAAACACAATCAAGTAGGAATCTTCTTTCTTTATATTGAGAGTCTTTTGAGTCTCTAAATAATACATAGCAGATATATTTAAAACATTATACCACATGTTAATTAATTAATCAATAAATAAATTAATGTTCTTAAATTTAATCAAAACACCCTAATTTTTTAAGATAAATTACCTGGTAAATCATATAATCATTTCTTACAAAATACAATAAATATATTAAGTTTAACATGAAAGATTAATAACAATAATAAGATTTTTATACAATTGTAATAATATTGGTTTTTAATTCTATTTCTCCTTTTGAAACAATTTGTAAACATAGCAAGACTCAGAGGCTGTTGCAGAATGTAGCTAAAAGCCAATGATTTGAATAAACAAATGAAATGTCATGAGTAGTTTTTCTTCATTTTATTAACATAGAATTCAAGGAATCTAAAGATTTAGGAACCAGGTCAGGAAGATAGAAAAATCATTACATCTGAATACTATAAAAGATGTTAGGCATCAGGCATTCAGAGCAAATAATAAATAAAATCATTATAGTGTTTTAGTTAATAGAGTGCAGAGTGTAGGAAATGAGAAAAAAAAAATCATCACTACGTATAATCAACAATTAATTATAATGAGGTAAACAATTGTTATGAAAAATGTGATAGAACAAGTTTAATAGGGTTAGTACAATAACAGGATCTGTTAATTATAGGTAGAGAAATCAATGGATGCTATTACATTTGCATACATATTGTAGAATTTCTCCTAAAAATATTATGATTACAAGAGAAAAAAAAATATTACCTGCAACTTTGGATTCATAAGCAACGCCGACTCCACAAACATCATTATCCCTTTTAGCTGCAACTTCTCCTGCACATCTAGTCCCATGGCTAAAACATACATTTCATATAATGAAAAAATTCTCAAATTTAAGTTAAATTAACCAAAGAAATAAATGAGTACAAAAGCAAGTAAAAATTAAAATTTATATATAAATCTATTATTATATTAGAAATATTTATCTCTTAATTTGAGAATATTAATAATTTACAAATAATAATAATTTGAACTACCCATTTTTTTTTCACATGCTTTCAAAACTTTTTTTAATTCACCACTTAAGTAAATATATTGTAAGTTATTAACATACATTTTATTAATTTATTTTAAATATGAAACCTTTAAACAATTTTATCACTAATGCTAATTTTATATTCAGTGGAACTTATATTTGTTTTCTAATACACTTCACATGAATTAAAAATAAATTACTTGTTAGCAATAATTTTTATTACCATACATTTAATCAAGTATAAGAAAGGAAATTATTTTGTTTCATATTTAAGTACATTCTTTTTTTTATTACAACATCCATAATTTAAATGGTGCTGAGAGGATTCTTGAAGCTCTTGCGATAACAGATCCTAAGTACCTGTGTTAAGATTGATCATTTAGAATTTCACTGTGTGGAAATATTAAGGAAGTATCTAAATATGTACTTCTTTGGGGAGAGAGGAGTTATGGATAATTTTCAAGGCAACATTTTCCAGGTTTATCATTTCCTTTACATTGATTAAATCATAGATGAACATAGACAAGATATTAGAATCAATTTTGAAGAATATAAATAGATAACATTTGTCTAAACCAAGAATTGAGCCATTATGTTTCATTATTATTAATTTTTTTTTCTTCTAAAAATGTACAACTTTTTTAGATAAAGCCAAACCTGTTTTATAATACATATTTTAATTTACCATATTCACACAAACAAAATATCGTGTTTTAGAATCTAGTTTAAAAATTTTTTCTGTTAGAAGTTTGGTTTGTTGCTCTACGGTCATCTTTTGCACATGTTAGGCTAAACAGACCGGGACCTACAGTTTAAAGTGGATTCCGAACCACTGCAAACATCCATGGCACCGCCGGGATTCGAACCCGAAACCTGTGGTACCAAGCGCCAGAGTGCTAGCCACTCGGCCACCTTTCTGTTAGAAGGGCAGCGAGTAAAAATATATGCCAGCGTGCCAAGGATTTAAACTTTTTACAAAAACTGAGGATCAAAATCATATCAAATACTAAG